ATATATATATATATTTGTATGTGTTTGTTTTGTTTTAGAGGATGAGCAGAAAATGACCGAACAGTAAGTTTTGACAACTTACAACTTTAATAAGCCAGTTGTCACAAACTACAAACAACTCTGAACTCTTTTCTAGAAAGACTAAACCACATGTTGGGGTTGAAACTAGAATATGATGCTTGCATCACAAAATAACCCATTCAACTAGTGGGTTGAGTTCTTTCATACGTGCTTGTAGTCCTTTATATACTCCTGACATGTTGGCAGCATTATCATAGCATTGTCCCCTGCAGTTTGCGATGTCAATCCCCATCTCTTCCAAAACTTTGAGTACAGACGCACATAAAGCTTCCCCAGTATGACTTTCAATTGGTAGAAACTTCAGAAAGCGTTCCTGCGAGTGTCCTTCAGGTGACACATATCTTAACACAAATGTTAACTGATCAACATGTGCCACATCTGGCGTGGAGTCAACAGAGACTGAGAAGTATTTTGCCATTTTTACTTCACTCACTATTTCTGATAGAACACGATCACCCATCAGCTGAATAAATTCCTCACATGTTTGGGAAGAAAGATATGAGGGTTTCCCTGAACCTGCATTTCCATATTTCTCTATATGAGACTTCAGAAAAGGATCAAACTCGCTGATTAACTCCAGTATTCCCAGATAATTCCCATTATCAGTTCTTCCAAATTTGTCACTGGCTCTGTCGTGTTTTACGAAGCATACGCTGAGTCACTGTATCATCGTTCTCTGTTTATTCCCCGATCACCAAACATCCAGCATACTTAATCATCACAATCAGCCTCACCTGTGGACTCTTAAGCCTGACGCTTTATGACGTCACCACAGGTGGCCATTTGTAGTCTTTGTGCATAACATTAACACCACATCTCCCCTCTCTAGAATCAATGGGTGGACTACCATTGATTCAACAGACCTTAGAGGATTATTCTGCCTCTATAGCTGGAAGGTCTGTTTCTACCTAGAGCTAGAAAAAAAAGCTACAATAAACAGAAAAACATTTTTAAACTTTTAGCATAACATTTACATCAATCATTTCATTTTATTTCCCTTAGCTACAAATTCAGTCTATCTGGTTTCACAACCCGTCTCCCAAACCTGGTTCTAGGAGTAGGTGAAGATTCCTCAGAACTCGGTGGAACTTGTTCTGCAACAACATCACCTTCCGGTACTTCTGGCTCTGTCGAAGGCTCCATGGCAACCAAATGACGACGATTTCGCCTAATCAATCCATGGGGTCCTTCCACGATGTATGACCGTGGAGTAGAATGACTGGTAACCACTGCTCCACTTGTGCCTTGATCTTTAATCCACACGCCTTGTCCTGGAGTAAGTTTACTAAGGACTCTTGCTCTGTGGCGTGCATCATATCTCTCTGCATCCTTTAACCTTCTCTCCTTTTCTTTTTGAGCAATGATTCTACTTTTTGGAAGAACTGGCCTCAACAAAGATGGAAGTGTTGGCACAGTCGTGCAAAGCCTTCTTCCCATAAGGAGCTCTGCTGGACTGTACCCATTCCAAAGTGGTGTTGCTCTGTAGGCGAGTAAGGCTAGATATGGATCAGCTGCTTTCTTCAACAAGTTCTTTATGGTTTTAACTGCACGTTCAGCTTCCCCGTTACTTTGTGGATATCTTGGGCTACTTGTAATTTGGCTAAATCCTGTGAATACGAGTCATTTGTAATGTTGACGGCAGGAAAGTCTGACATGTACGAAAAACACTTTTCCTCAGTGTGTACGGATCATATCCGATATGTTTAACTATTTGTTTTATAATACCTGGTACACGCAGGCTCAACCAAACACTTTTGTATACTCTCTTTCATTCATTTCCAGCGACCGTTCTCCACTTCCTGCCCCCCATCTGAATTTCAGAATCACGTGATTGCAAACAACCTATCGGCAGGTTTTTTTTCTGTTGTTAATTAGGCTTATTACCTTACCTACATTCACTTTTATTTGATGTTTTTTCTTCCCCCTACTAAAACTTTATTCGTAGTAAAGTGTTGGGATTGATTGGTAGGGGTTTTTGTATTGTGTTGCACTATTGTACGGCATTTGATTTTAATTTTTTTTTCCGTCATTTTTTATTTTTTTCCAAAGTCATGACGTATCCCCTAGGGGTACGCGAACCATAGTTTGGGAATAATGGGCTTAGAGTAACCTCCTGTTTAACATATCAATCCATACGTTTAAGTAATGTATCCATACCTGCTGTTTAAATTATCTATCCATACATTTAACGTAATATATCCAAACCTGCTGTTTAACATTTTAAGTGATCCAGTTTTTAAGAACAATTTAAATTCGATAAGCACTTATCACAGTTTTAAGTTGCCTGATTGTTAAGAACATAGGCTTACATACAGGTTTCCATGCAAGCAACAAATCGTGTCTCAAGGTCAGTAGGGACGGTTCCAGAGGTTTATCATCATCCAGACACACAAAGATTGTCTGAATGCATGTTAAAGTGTGCGTCAGGCCAAACAACAAGAATGCCTCAGAAAAAGAAGAGATTTCACTGAAAATTATATTGCCTTCAACAATGACAGAGAATACAATTCCAACACCATCCTAATATAAAAATATGCATTTTATATAAACATATGTATATATTTTTTTACATACAGAAGCAACTCCAGACTTTTATTTTGAAAATCAATACATTTATGATATATTCCTTGCTCAGCTTCTTACTACTTGCTCACATAACAGAGGCCACCGTCCCTGAACCTCTGACACCATAGGGTCTAGCTCCACAATCTCCTTGCGCCTCAGGGAGAAAGTCAGCACCATCTTTTGCTGTAAGAGTTCAACATTCTTATTCCTCCTCAGATATTCTTGAACCAGAGCCAGTCTTTGCTCCTCCAGCGAGTCTTCAGTGTGATTATTTGGATGGTCAGGGACATGATTAATTTCCCCTCGCTTTGCTTTCTTCAAAGAAAAACCTGCAGTATTATCTTCATCGCATCGTCTTTTCCTATTAATGCTGACCTCGATACACCTTCCCTGTAACTTGGACCTTTAATTACCAAGTTGTATTTTATGCTCATTTTTCATCCATCATACCCTGTTCCACTGCCCGGTTCTCGAAGGTAGGGGTGCTTACTGACAAGAACCAAAGCAACTGACCCAATCTGGTCTTGGTCAGGGTAGGCTTTCACTTCAAAAACAGTTTGAGCAATCTTGTCCAAAATGTCCATCTTCATGTCTCTTGTTAGGTCGATGCCCTTCTTGGTCTTTTCATATGCTTCATTGCCTGCACGCAACTTTAATTCCACATCATAGGAGAAGGCTTGAATGGGAAAAGGTGAAGGCCATCTGGATACACTCAAAAGGTAGTCACAGATGAAACCTGAAAGACTCTGGGCTGACTCTCTATTGGATATGCTGGCTGTGTCCAGGGAAGACCCTGAATAAACAGAGTCTGACTCTTGCTGAGCAAGTGTAGGTGGATCATCCCAAAGAATGTGCAAGATGGCACGTTCCGGTGGCAACTCGTGGATATCAATCAAATTACAGAGAGCGTTATTAAAGTCTGGTTCTTCAAATTGTAGTGTGAAGCTACCTTGAAGTTCAAGATTTTATATAAGAATGTTTTGTAAGTGTTCAACTGATTCAGGCATTTCACATAGCACCACCTTACGAGACATTCTTGGGGAGTTTTTCACCAGCAGCAATAAACCCTGTGTTAGATGAGAAAAGAATAAGAAAAGAGAGGAGAAAAGATTTTGCATACTATCACCAGCATAACAAAGATCCCACAACTGATGGCATCTTTCTGGAAAGTGTGGGTTATTTTGCCAGGCTTCCACTTGATGTTAACCCAATCTTCCTCTCCAAATCTATTCCGGCGCATCTTGAAGTACTGTCTGACAAAAGGAACAGAATTTTCGGTTTACATTTTCACAGACTCTATGGCCAGATGTGTCTGTAAGGTACCCAGTCCTCATAATTTCATAATACCCAAATTTGTAGCCAGCCATTTTGGAGTCTTCAACCTCATTGGACCCTTGAAGAGGATGAACCACAAAAATGTGGTTTGAAAGGCTATGAAGATACTGTTTAAAAAATGTAAATATCATTAAACTATACCATCCCTAAATATGTCATCAACCACATCAACAATGAAAATATTTGTAAAAGTTTAAAACCAACTTTGACAAATTGATACATGGAAATGTAAGTACATTTACAATATTAAAGACAAAAAAACAAGCCATTTCACACATTCTTTTTTTTTGTATCCTAAGACAGTGATCATACGGTACACAGGAGTCAATGCAGCTGGATGACAAACAGAGCTCATGATCCTAAACTTGTGAATGTGTTAGTTTAGTCATTATAATTCTTAGATTAATACTGAACTGATATGAAAAATATGTAAATAATATTACTGTAGTTTTGTAGTTTCACTATTCCACATGTCAGTGTTTGTCCCTTGTTTTGCTTAGGCCAAAGGTGTCATCTTCTTTGTCAGATGCAAACCGTAGTAGTAAGGATTGTCCACATCTTCTTTGATTCCTGCTTTCTCTTTTTCAAGCTCTCCTTGCACCTCCTTTCATAGGTGAAATGAGATTTGCCTAAAATTGTGTGTGCATTCCTTCTATCTTCATCACTTTCCTCCTGAGCTACAGGACTTTCTTCCAGTTTCTCTGTCGCTTCCACGTCAGGAATCATGCTCTCTTTGATCAAGTCCTGTATGGCCTTGAGATTATTCTGCACAGTGCTGGGGTTGTATTTGCCAGTTAATACAGTCATGGCCAAAAGTATTGAGAATGACACAAATATTATATTTTCACATGATCTGCTGCCCTCTGGTTTTCATGTGTGTATGTCAGATGTTGTCATCACATACAGGAATACAATCAATGCTTGAATTTTATCAGAATTCTTAGGTTTTCGTTTTTCCACCCGTTTCTTGATGATTGACCATAAGTTTTCAATGGGATTAAGATATGTATAACACATGTAGCGCTCCCCTCAGTAATTATAAAGATGAGGGCAGGGCTTTTGGGTTCATCTAAATAAAACTATCAATAATATTTAACCCTGATAAACTCAGTTTTAAAGTTTGTTTTGAATTTCCCTTTTTACCCTTATACACAAGCTCTATTTTGAATTTAGCTGTTCCAGGTGTGCTTAATCACCTCCCCTGGCACTGCTCACCTGAGCCACCTGCCCACACCTCCCCCCTGCAGCTGAGCGCCACGCCCCCTCCACACCTGCATAAATATCAAATGAGTGCACCAGGCCTTTTGTGTCACACAAAACAAGGACTTTATATCCCCATGTGTACGACTTTTTGGAAATGTACTGTTTTAGAACAGATCTGCCTTTCAATGGCACCATTTGTTCGTCAATAGACAGCATCTTGAGGCAGGGCTTGGAATTTGGGGAGCAGGGAATCAATTAGTGGCCTAATTTGAACAGCCAGTCACTGTTGTTGGGTGCCATGTTGTCACTTGTGTTAATCTTGTCTGTTGTAGTCCCTTCTCACCTCAGCACCATGGGGGGCAGAGCCCTCAGTCGCTCTGCTCCCCGACTCTGGAACTCTTTGCCATCTGGCATCCGAAATACCGACCCTCTCCCTCTTTTCAAAACAAAACTCTAAACCCACCAAGTTTAAAATTTCTTACCCACTGTACCAAACCTAACTCTAACATTCCCCTATTTTTTGTCTTGTTCAGCAGATGCACCGACGGACGATGCTACCAAATGGTTTGTTAAACAACTTGACTCAGTCACATAATCAGTCATTTAACTCATGCCATGCCAAATTAAAAAAAAACAAGCTAAATTCCATTCTGGGGAAGGATTTATTTAAAA